CAGGGAAGGAGGGGATTCCCTCTGGAGGGAAGGACAGGACTCCCTTTGGAGGGAAGGATGGACTCCCTTTGAAGGGAAGGAGGGGATTCCCTCCGGAGGAAGGGCCAGGACTCCCTTTGGAGGGAAGGAGGGGATTCCCTCCGGAGGAAGGGCCCGGACTCCCTCTGGAGGCATTCCCTGCAGGGCAGCTCGCGGGGCGGCTCCGCGCGGCCGTGCCCGTGGCTGCCGGAGCTGCGCTGACAGCAGAATCCATGCGGGAGCGACCCGGCGAGGTGTCCCTGTGGAAGTGCCTGCGCGCGGCCGCTCCGGAAGCAGGCACAGCCGAGAGGGCCGCGCGTTAGGGAGCTCCTCCTGCCTGCCCTGCGCCTCATTCCCATGCGTGTCCGGGCGCGGATCGGAGCAGCGAGCGAGGAGCACGGCGGGGGGAGCTGGGAAGGAGGTGTCTCTTCCTGTGGGGACACAGCGGGACTGGTTTAGCTGGTTGTGATGCCGGTTCCCGGTGCCTTTAAAGCAACATCGGGATCCGGCCGCGCTCCGTTTGGCTCCCAAAGAAACTGGGGGCTGTTCCTGCAGCAGCGGATGAGCTTATCCCGAGCAATGGGACGCGTTTCCCTGGCGGGTGACGGCAAGGAGAGGCTCCCATCTGCAGCATGGAAGCACAGGGCGGGAATATTAACTGGGAAACGAATTCCTGCAGACATCAGTGCCCAGGCCAGCCTCGTGCCGCGAGTTATCCGGCTGGGATGAGCAGCAAGCGCCCGGTTTCCCGGAGCCTGCCGTGTTTCCCTGGGTAAACGAGTTGTTTGTGTGCGTGCGGGACGATTCCCAAGGCTATTTATAGGGCGGCAGGCCGGGAAGCCCCGCCGGCACGCCGGGACGCGGCGCTGGCTGCCCCGGCACCGTCTGGAGCACAAGGAGGCCCCTGTGTCCTTGGCGCGGCCGGCGGCGCCTCTTAACCCTTTGGAGGCGCCGCCGGAGCGAGAAGCAGCGCGAGGATCGGGAGCGTTCCCGCCGGGATTCACCTGCCGCGTGTTCCCTGGACAACGCGGACACGTTGTGCGCGCGGTGCCCGCTGAGCGAGACGGGATGGGCTCCGTGTGGGTGCCAGGGACCCCGCGTGCCGGGCAGGAGGAGAAACCCCAATTCTGCGCATCCCAGCGACGGGAAAATGGGAACCGTCTGTCAGCGGGAAGCTCGGAGGGCTCCTGTCTCCAGCGGCCCTGCGTCCCCTGCCAGCCCTCTGCCAGCTCCGGGCAGGCCCTGGAGCATTAGGAACCCCTGGAAGTGCTTGTGCGGACTGGTCGGGACCTCACAGGATCATTGCCCATCCCATGGGCACCGCAGCACGTAATTCCTGGGATTCACGGCCTCCTGGAGCGGGGTTCTGCGTGGCTGCGGCTCTCGGGCACGGGCTGTGTGCTCTGGACACGGTTCCTCGGGATCCCGGCTTCAAGACTGTCTCTTTACTGGCTCCCTTTTCCAGCAGGACATGGAAGGGGACGCAAATCCACCAAGTCTGCTCATAAGAACACACATTTTTCCATGCGCCGGGGCCGGGAGCGCCCGCGGAGCCTGTTTGCCCGTTCCCAGCGCCACAGATAAGGGCGAAACGCGACCTTGGAGCCTGCGCCGAGCGGGGAAAACGGGGCGATTAAGAGCTGCCTTCGGGCCCTGCCGCTTTGGGGAGCCGCCGGGATCCCCACCCGCTGGGAACGCGCGGCCGGGATCCCGCCCGGCGCTTCCTGCCCCGCGGATCCCGCGGATCCCGCGGAGCAAAGAGGTACCCGGAGCCGGGGAGTCGCAGGAGCTCCGAGCAGGGAACGGCGGCTCTGGGCCCAAAACGGAGGTTCGGGCTCCTGCTGCCCCCGCTTCTGGAGCCCCGTGGGTTTGGTGGTGCCGCCCTGCCCAGCGCCCTCTTGTCCTGGAGCTGTCCCCGTTGGGCTGCTCTCCGGCTGCCCCGTCTCTCCGTAGCTCCATCCGCCTCTTTAGGAAGAGGCAAGAGGGCTGGGACACCGGGGGCTGGAAAACCGGCCCTGCGTGGGCTGCGTTGGGAAGTGCTGACGGCGCCTGGCGCTCCTGGCGCTGCCCTGGCCTCCCGTGGAACCTGCGGAACCTCCTGCGGAACCTGTGGAACTTCCCGCAGAACCTGTGGAACCCCCTTGTAACCTGTGGGACATCCCTCAGAACCTGTGGAACCTCTCTGGAGCCTGCGGAACCTCCCGCAGAACCTGCAGAACCTCCCACAGAACCCATGGAACCTTCTGCAAATCCTGCGGAACGTCCCGCAGAACCGGGGCGGTGCCGGGCGGGAAGTCTGGGTGCTCCCCCAAAGGGCAGCTGTTCCCCGTGTCCCCTGCGGTCTCCCCATCACTCCCCGCCCAAAACCCTAATTTCTGCTCCTGCAAGAAGACAAGAACCTTTGATGTGCGTGGAGACAAAAGGCCGGTTTTCTGCAAGGCCTTTTGCTGCGCGGAGCTTGCGGTGGGCGCCGTGTGCTCCCGGCTTCCCTGCCCGGAGCCTCCTGCAGGCCAAGCAAGCCCCGACCTGTCCCTCTCCCAAAGAAATCCCGGCTTCCAGCGCTCCGTTTGGCACTGGCTGCAGCTGCGGGCCCTCACCCGCAGGAGACCTGCATGGAGCTGTGTCACGTTCTGCCTCTTCCACGGCGTCTCCATGAGTTTTCAGTCTGATTTCGCTTCCTGCCCCCGTGCCGCAGGCTGCTCTTGCCCACTGTGTGTCCCAGGAACCTCTCCGTGTCCTCCCGTCCACCTGCTCCTGCTGCCCTCCATTGAGGAGCTGCCGGCTGGGATTCCTAGCCCTCCCTTCTGGAGCTGGGAATATCTGCTGCACCAATCCCCGTGTTTCCATTAGCAAACCTCCGTGAAAGGGGCTCTGCAGGGAAATCGCGGGGTACCCCAAGCTGGTGCTTGTGCCGCCTTCCCGCAGGCTGCGTTGTCCTGGCGGACGGGAATTCACGCTCGGCTGCTGGTTGCAGGCGGGCAGGTTTGGCTCTCCTGCTGTATTTGGTGGCAGAAATAAGTAATGAACGGCTTGAGGTCTGGCCCGCTTCCCAGGGGCCTGCGTGGGCGAAGGGACGCCCTGGAGAGGCCATGTGCCCCGCAGCCTCGAGGACAGCGGCACGTGGGGACACGGGCCTGCTCGTGGCCCCGGCTTCGCGTGGGTGCCACCGGCGCCGCTGTGTCCGGGTTTGGAAAACGAGTCATGGACACGGCAGCGGCCTGCGGCAGCGCCGAGCCCGGCAGGATCCCGCGGTGGTGCCGAGCCCGGCAGGATCCCGCGGTGGCGCTGAGCCCGGCAGGATCCCGCGGTGGCACTGAGCCCGGCAGGATCCCGTGGTGGTGCCGAGCCCGGCAGGATCCCGCGGTGGCGCCGAGCCCGGCAGGATCCCGCGGTGGCACTGAGCCCGGCAGGATCCCGTGGTGGTGCTGAGCCCGGCAGGATCCCGCGGTGGTGCCGAGCCCGGCAGGATCCCGCGGTGGCACTGAGCCCGGCAGGATCCCGCGGTGGGGCCGAGCCCGGCAGGATCCCGCGGTGGGGCCGAGCCCGGCAGGATCCCGCGGTGGCGCCGAGCCCGGCAGGATCCCGCGGTGGCGCCGAGCCCGGCAGGATCCCGCGGTGGCGCCGAGCCCGGCAGGATCCCGCGGTGGTGCCGAGCCCGGCAGGATCCCGCGGTGGTGCCGAGCCCGGCAGGATCCCGAGGCCGCGGGACGCAGCGGCTGCCCGGACGGCCCGTTTGGGATGACATCTGTGCGTGTTCATGGCCGTGGGCCCTCGGAAACGCTGCCCGGGTTGTCCCCTTGCTCCAGGTCCCGGTGCGCACAGTGTCCCCAGCTGTCCCAAACCCCTGGGTTCAGTGGGGCAGCCCATTGCAGCCCCCAGGAGCGTGGGCTATGGGGCAGCATGGGGCACTCTGGCAGTCCCTGGCTGCCCCACACCCCCAGGTTCAATGGGGCAGCCCGTTGCAGCCCGCTGCACTGGGAACGTGGGCTATGGGGCGGCGTGGGGCGCTGCGGCCCCCTCACCCTGCTCTCCTCCTCCGCAGACTCCGCAACCATGAACGGCTCCGACGTCGCCAACACCACAGCGGCCAGCGCCAAGTGCAAGGAGGAGCAGGCGGTGAACGGGCACGATGAGAAGGAGGGCAACCCCTTCGCCGAGTACATGTGGATGGAGAACGAAGAGGACTTCAACAGGCAGGTAGGAGGAGCACGGGGCGGCAGCCCTGCGCCTCTGGGGCTAGCGCCGAGCGCAGGGCACTGCAGAGGCTGCCTGTGCTGCTGCTTGGGCCGCGTGCGCGGGAGTCACCGCTGGCCCTGCAGAGCGGGCGGCTCCGGTGACTCGCTCCTGCTGCCGGCTCTGCCGGGCGATGAGCAAAGCCGGGAAACGTCCTCTGCCACCCCGGGACGTGAGGCTCGCGCGCGGAGGCCAGCGATGGCTTTGTTCTTCCTGGGCCCTGCTCTGATAGCCCAGGCATCTGATAGCCGAGGTGTCCGCTCCCTGTGTGCTCCGCTTGGGGACAACAGCAAAGATCAGCCCCCAGCATCTCTTGCAGAGCATTCCTGGCACTGACCTCAGGGCGTTCGTAGCACTGAAATCAGAGTGTTCATAGCACTGAAGTCAGAACATTCATAGGGCTGAAATCAGAGTGTTCGTAGCGCTGATTTCAGCATGTTCACAACCCTGAACTCGGAGCGTTCATAGTGCTGAACTCAGAGCGTTCACAACCCTGACCTCGGAGCATTCACAGCGCTGCTGTCTCGGGGATGAGTTCTTACGTTCGTACCTGCCCTTTTGGGTGGGAGTCATCCCAGGGCAGCAGCCCCAGCGCTGCTGGAAGCGGCCGTGCCTGCCCGTCCTGCCGTGGGGCCAAGGCCAGGACGAGGCCCCAGAGCCGCTCGCATTCAGCCGGGGAGGGATGGAGCTCCTGCTGCTCCGTGCTGCTCCGTGCTGCTTTGGCTGCCTGAGCTGCATCACCTGCGCCCGGACCCAGCACCTGGAGCATTTCCCACCCCGCCGCGCACATGGACAGCCGGGAATCGGGAGCTGAGTGGCAGCGACCGCCGCGGTTCACGGCAGGCTGGGCGCAGGGAGGCTGCGTTTCAGCCTCCCACCCCCTTGGTCTCCAAAGAGGGGTTCCCAGCACCACGTCTCCATCTGGAATCGCTTCCTCCCGCAGGAAGCAGGAGGTGCCAGGGCGGCCAGCCCTGCCCGGGCTCGCGCCCAAGGGCTCGGCGGGGCTCGAGCGCCGCGAGGAGGCAGCCCGGCGGCCGCGGCGCACGGCCAGGCGCCCTAGCTCCTCTTGTGAAACGCGGCCTCGGGAAGAGCGTGGGGCGGAGGGAGGAGAAGGGGACGGAGCGGGGCTGGCACCTGAGCTGGTTTCTGGCCCGGAGCGCCGAGGAGCTGGAGAAAAAGAGGAGCAAAGAAAGCAGCTGGTGCAGCTGAGATCCCGCCTGCGCTTCGGCCCTTGCCAGCTCCCGCTCCCGGCCTCGCAGCTCTTCGGGAATGCCATGGGAACGCGAGTGGCGTCACTCCCGCCACCCGGCAGTCAGAAGCCCCTCGGGAAGCGCGAGCCAGCCGGTATGGGATTTCGGTGGGAGCAGCAAGGGCTCGTCGGGAGCTGCCGCGCCGAGGCCGAGCGGTGCGAGCGGCACCGTCTCTCACCCGCTCTCCTCTCGCTTCTCATCATCCCGCCCTTCAGCCCGCAGCTCCGGGCCTCGTGCGGGAATATTCCCTGGGAATGCCGGGACAGGCCGGGCGGGCGACAGGAGCGCGGGATGCGCAGCTGGGCGCTGTGGGAGCACCCCGGGCTATCCCGCTTTTACTCATCCTTTCTCGGTTATATTTGAGAGCGGCCACTGAAACCCACGTGAGGATAATTACGGGATGATATTGCATAATGATAATTACAGCTAATGGTGAAGGAGATTCCTGCCCAGCCGGGATGGATTGTGAGCGCTGCTGCTGCAGGAAGGCGCTCCCAGAGCCCAGGCTGCAGGCGCCCTTCCCGGAGCCTGATATCCTGGGTATATCCTGGGTATTTAGCCTGATATCCACGTGGGAGCTTGGGAATCCCTCACGGGATTTCCAGGGGGAGAAGAGCTAAGGAGCGGCTCGCAGCGAGGTCGGCTCTGTTGGAGAGGAGGCTCCGGCACCGAGGGGACAACGGAGCGGAACTTCCCTCGGGATGCAGCTGGAAAGCGCCCGCGAGGGCAGGAAGCCGGACACGGAGATCGGTCGGAACCAACAAGCACCAGGATGTTCTTGGCGCTCCAGCCCGTGGCTCCCGGGCACTGCGGGCCGAGAAGCCCACGGAAACGTGTGCCCTACAGACCCGCCGCAGGAGGGGGAGGTTGCTTTGGAAGATGTGGGAAAAAAGGCGGCTCTGCGGGATTGCAGCGCGGGCGGCAGCGGAGCGGAGCTGCCAGCAGCAGGGCCGAGGGGCCGGGATGGGAAGGGGCTGTTGAGGGGCACTGCGGAGGCTGCTCCACATGTGCAGCTGGTAGCAGCAAACTGGCACTGCGGCCAGCGCAGCGGGACCGGAGCTGGAGGCGGGTGGTGGCTCCGGAGAACATGGATATGGGATTTGGGGTGTTTGGGGATGGTGCGGGTGGAAAGCCGCGTTGCAAAGGGAAAGAGATTGCAGGTTTGGCTTGTCCCAGCCTAGGGCAGGCGACAACGTGGAGCGCAGCGCCCGGGCACTTCTGCTTATCCCGGGTTTCCTTTGCAGGAATGAGCTGTCCCTGCGCACTGCCTGGCCTTTGCTCCTGCACCTGGGTTGCTCCAGGCTGCTCCAGGCTGCTCCATGCTGCTCCAGGCTGCTCCAGGCTGGCACAGGCCCCGTTCCCTGCAGCACCAGCGTCTGGAGCTGCCCGGCCTGGCTGCCGGGCACCGCTCTGCGCACGGGGCTGCGCCGAGCGCAGGGGCTCAGCCTCTCGGGGGAGCTGCTCATTCGCCCGGCACGGGTTTGCGGCCCAGCTGAGCTGCCCGCAGGGCAGGCTGTGGGTTCGGAGCGTTCCGACTCCCCAGGCTCATTGCCAGGTTCTCCCAGCGCTCACTGGTGCTCCTTGGGGCTTGTGGAGCTGCAGGAGCCGAGCACAGCGCCGGCCAACACCACCACGGCGCTGCCTGGCCCCTCTGTGCCAGCTTCCTGGCTGGGATTCAATGCTCCATCCCATCGGGATGGGATTCATTGAATCCCAGTGTCCCGGCTGGGATTCCACAGCCAGCCCTGCCGGGTCGTGGCACCCTGGAGCACCCTGGGCCTGGGCAGCTGCCCTGTAAACCCTGCCCCATTCCCACCTGGACCTGTGGGTGCTGGGTTTAAAACCCAGCTCGGAGGCTACCGAGCCTTTCCCTGGGGCTCCTGCCTTGCAGGGGCCGCTTCCGCGGTGGAGGGCAGCGTGTGGAAAACACACGGGTGCCTAATTGGTCTCTCTGGGCAGGTGGAGGAGGAGCTGCAGGAGCAGGAGTTCCTGGACCGCTGCTTCCAGGAGATGCTGGACGAGGAGGACCAGGAGTGGTTCATCCCCTCGCGCGACCTGCCCCAGGGCCTTGGGCAGCTGCAGCAGCAGCTCAACGGGCTCTCGGTGGCCGAAGACCACAGCTCGGAGGACATCCTGGTAAGGAGCTGGGAGAAGCGGCACTGCCGTGGGCACAGGGCAGGTTTCACTGGGGACTCGGGGCAAAGCGGGGCCTCTCCTGACTTCCAGGCAGAGCTGGGATGTCCTGGAAGACCAGGAGGGCTCAGGAGATGCCTGTTTTCGTCCTTGGAAGCAGGAGAAGCCTGCAGGGCTGGCGAGGGCTACATGCACCGGCAGCTCGGAGGCTGCTGGTGTGGGTGGCTCAGGCAGTTCCTGACCCCCTTCTGCCATGGGTGACACTAAAACCAGGCTCTTTGCACCACACAGCCTGGGTGACAACCGCTCTGCACACCCAAGAACCAGGAGAGGGACAGAGGTTCTCACAGCTTTGTCCTCCAAAGCCCGTCCTGGGGGGAGACACTTCTGAGCTGCCCCCTTTTAAGCGCTGCCTTAGTGGGGTTGGACTAGATGGTCTCCAGAGGTCCCTTCCAACCTCAACCATTCCGTGATTCCGTCTGTGGAGGAACCAAGAGGGCGGAAACGGGAGCACATGGGGGTGTCTAAGCACCAACAGGGCCCTTCTCCCTCCTCTCTTGCAGAGCAAAAGCAACTTGAATCCAGACGCCAAGGAGTTTGTGCCGGGTGTGAAGTACTGAGCCCCAGGGGCGGCTTCGCAAAGACTGTGTCCCTGCTCCCCACGCGGGACACGTGGCCGGAGCGGGGATGGGGCCGCGTTCCTTCCCGGCCGGACTCGGCGCCGCGGCAGCGTGCCCAGCTCTTGCTCTGTGCTTCAAGTACCGGTCAGGGGGGCTTTTTTCTACTCTTTCTTTTTAGGGTCTATCACTTCTCGGCAGCCGCTGCTTCGTGGCGCTCGCGGCGCCGCGGTCTGGCCGGGCGCCCAGCGCTGCTGCTGCTCCCGAGGCCAGTTTTCCATGCGTGCTTCAAACCTGCTAGCGGCGAAGCCGTGGTTTCCTGTTACACAGTATTCCTAGGGATCCCCTGCCTGCTCCCACCTTGGATGCGGCGAGCCGGGAAGGCCAGGGCCTGGGCAAGGGGCCACGCTGGCTTCTCCTGCTTCCCTTAGAGAGGATTTTTGTCCCCCAGAAGGGAAGATGAGGAATAAGGAGGCTGTAAAGGCTGAGCTCCCATGTGGGCGGCCTGTGCCGGCTCCTGCTCCCTGCTCCACACTAATCCAGCTGCTGCTTCGCTGCTAGGAGGGAGCAGGGCAGCCCTGTCCCGTCACACACCCTGTCCTTCCACGGGGACCTTCCTGCTCCACATTCGGGTTTCCCTGGGAGATCTTTTCCCTGACTCTTGGGCTTACCCAGCGTTAGCGGCGCTGGCTCTGAGGCGTCTGTACCTTCATTTCTTACCGAAATAGTGGAAATAAATCCAAGAGAAGCTGAGTACCGCCCGTTCTCAGCCGTGTCGCAAAGTGGCTCGCGGGGCACTTGGTTCCAGGCAGCTTCTCTGGAAAAGGAGGGATCTCCTTTGCGGATTGTCCCCTCTCCTGTCTCTGGAAAAGG